CAATAAAGCAAATCCAGTGGCCATCAGCCTCTATTCTGTAACTACATGGGACATCCAGACGTCATCACGCAGCTGCTTTTGGAACATATGAATGTGCAGAAAGCACCAAAACAAAGAGGAAACTACAGAACTGGAGGAAAGAGATTCAACTGGCCCTGTCTTCATTGAATGCAAAGWTTTGGGCTCATTTTGTTTTTTTTACTGAATGAGTCCRAGTTTGACATGAGTTTCACTTTGTACAAGGYTTGCAAAATGAAGATGAAGCACTTCKAAAACACAACAAATGGGCTCACATTAACAGTTTTGAATGAAAAATCTACTTTGAATCGAATTGTGGCCTCAAAAATCAGAATCAAATCGAATCATGAGAGGGCGAAAGATTCCCGCCCCTAGTGGGAACCAGGTATTTATTGCACCAATAGCTAATGTGCAAATAAACACGTAATCTGTGTGCATAGAAACTTCAGACACTCCTTTTGTAAGGAATGGAAACAAGTCATTTTACAGTTTTTTTTAAACTAACAGGTTACATTTGGCAGATGAAGAGGTGACATTTTTACTATTTGCTAAAATCCAAAATGTGTCGGCACAGATCAAAATGAACAGAAAACACGTTCAGCTTTTGATCATAGAATGACTCTTGAATACTAAGACTGAACCTGCTTTGTTTTGCTTATGTATTTCAGGTTTTTTTAAGTAGGTTCTTTGTTAAATAAAAGCTGGAAATGAACACTCCTTTACTTAATGAAATTTGCTGTGTTTAAGAGAAAATGTTTTTTGTGTGTGTTATAGGGAGCTGGAGGAGAAACATGGTGTTCACTGCAACATGACGCTGCTGTTCTCTTTTGCTCAGGCTGTGGCCTGCGCAGAGGCAAAAGTAACACTAATCTCACCCTTCGTTGGGAGAATCCTTGACTGGTACAAGGAGAACACTGACCGCAAAAGCTACGAGCCTCATGAAGACCCAGGTAACAACCATTCTGAAGTATAGTAAGAAAACTTTCACTGTGATAAGTAGGCCTGTCACGATAGTCAATAAATCAATTAATCGTATGATAAATTATTTTGAGGTTGATTAAAAAAAATAATAATATAAAAAGAGGACGATAATTTTCATTTGCCTGCTTGCYTGTTTACTTTTGTCTCTCCCTCTCTGTGCTCCGGTGCACAGGGTGCTCGACTGACCCCTCCCCCTCCTGTTTTCTTAGTCGGAAGGAGTGAACTCTCTCGTTAGGTACTRCCAGGTGCGTGGTCTCRTACCTCCTTTAGCATGAGAGTTCATAGCAATAATTACACAGAGCTGGYTATCAGTGAAACCACAACATTTTTGTAGCRATCTAGYCACTCGTTTACACATCACTGGTGATCGGAGGCACTGATACCGGCACTTTTTGAAACCAGGTCTCAGAGTGGAACTTTAYAGTAACCCYCCTCCCACGGAGGTGGGAAGCACCCCGCAGCTGTGAAAGTGTGCATGCTCAAACAGCCGACACACAGGTGACTACAGAAAAGTTTCTTCTAAACTAGCAACAGTTATAATAAATTACAGACAGCAGAGCGTTTTTCTSTTCCTCACCCTTTGTAGCTTGTAGGAAAAACACAAAAATAATCCTAGGTCCAAACAAACTKTAGGTTAYTCCCCAGGTTTGTACATAACTGTGATCATGAAGCCGCTGCATGATCAGAGCATGAGTGAGAGCCATCAGGGTTGCCAAAAAAACTAAAAGAAAACTTTTTTTGCCGCTATTTTCCCGTGCATATTTTCACCAAACACAACACACCTCAACTTACAGCACTCTCACTCAGYATATGTATGACTGACTGAGTCATTTATCTACAGCAAATCGGCTGTTTTGACCCAAAATATAACAATTTTAAAGGAACAGTAAAACACTTTATTGTGTCCCATTTGGCAACCCTGCCTGGTACATTACTGCAGCAGTTACATGTAAACTGGTGATATATTTTTTTTTGTATATTCGTCCCAGTAAACATGAGCATTTTCAGAGACTGGTCTTGTATAAACAAGGCCTAATGAAACTTTGGGATTCTGAAAAATGGAGGTGGAATTGGTTTCAAAGCTGAACACGACAGCCGCAGTGTGGGAGCACTTTGGATTCAAACCTAATAACCGTGGTGAACTACTTAACCTGGGCGAGCCGGTACGTCGAATTTGTTGAAAAAAGAAAATAGCAACTAAAAGTAGCTATACTAMAAACTTGCATCTGCACCTAAAACATAATTATTCGATGTAAGTTTTCTCCAGCTGGGGAAAATAACTAAAACTGACGATTCGTCTCAGTTTTCCCGATAGTCCACAATGAGCGAGTGTTCAACCGACAAGCGACGTACAAAAAGTGGTGCACACTCACAGACAGCGTAGTTTGCTTCATCTCTAAAGAGATGCTCTTTTATTATTGTTTATTTACTGTTTCAATCTTTATTATTGTTTATTTACTGTTTCAGTTGTGTGTACTGTTTAATTTTCATTTTGTTGTTCTTTGTTTTTTTATTCAAGTGCATTTTTTGTTAGAGACTGAGAGTCCGTTTTGTTAAATATTCTTTAAAAATTAAAGTTTATTGATCTTTGAGAGGATGTACTTACATTATTACGCTATTATCATTATATTAGTTTTAAAATGGTCACCAGATAACATTATCGTTTATTGCAATAATTTGTGATACAATTAATCATCCAGCAAAATTTGTTATTGTGACAGGCCTAGTGGTAAGTTTTAAGCTATTAAAGTTTAAACTACAGGGCTTAAAGTTCAGTGCAGATGTAGGGATTTAAATGATGCTGCTTTCACGCAATAAAAAGAACCACAGTCACAGTTTGAGCCAATCAGAGCAAAGGAAGGCCAGGTCCTGCTGACTGTGAGCAGAGACAGACTGCAGGTGATGTAATCAGCATTTCTGACTTGTTCAAGGATGACTCCTTGACCCACTATCCTAACAGAACACCCCACTTTGTCTTCAGATTCTTTATGTAATTTATTTATAAAAGATGCAGCTCATCTTGTTAGTTGTTAAATTCAGTGACTTGATAAGTCGTCGTTTCACTGGCTCATCTGTCAGCATTATAAACAGATTATATTTCATGAAGCGTAAAGGTTTGAAGCACTTTGAGAAATCTCACCAGGCAGAAGAAAAATGTTGACCTTTTTGCCCAGTGCATTAAAACCAGAGGTTTAATTGGAGCATATGTACAGGAGTTATAGTTCTATTACTGCAACAAATCCTCAAAGTTAAATCTAGTACCAAGCAACAAAATGTCGTTGACTGCGCTATATATCTATTATTTCAGAAACAATAGCCAGTGTGCAGTGATTTTAAAAAATAAAGGCACTGTTTATTTTAATACAGTGTTATTAAATAAGTGTTTAATTACTTTAAATTGAATTTTTTCAGTTTTCTAAAATTCAATTTCTGCAAAGACCTTACAAATTTCTGTTCTTGCATGCAGCTGCTACTCAAGATAGTGTTTAAAAGTACTTTTTAAATAGTTTACATTTTTGCACATTAATACAAAAGCATTATAAAGCATCATATTTTTTATTATGTTGTTCCTTCCTGCTCCTGTGATTTGGTTTTGAGAAACATCATGTTATGACAAGTCTTATGCAAGCTTTTAGTTTCCAGACAACTAGTAAGAATTGGGGAAACACTGACGACTGGAATTTGTTGCCACTATACAGTATATGTAGCTGTTAGCCGACCTGTGACTTTCATCTGAGGAAAGTGAAGCTGTTGAAAACCTGCTCATCTCTGGTTAATGACAGAACAAAGGCAGTAAAACCATTTGCTGTCGTCACTGAGCTGCTTCTTTCCCAGCTAACAATGTGTCACTCAGAAGGTGCAGCCAGTGGGACAGATATGTCCCACTCCAAAAACTTACTGAGGTCATTTTAAACTCCATCTAAAAATAAGTAGCAGTTGTGACAAGTTTAGAAATATATTTATTTTCTTTTTTAAACCTAATAGAAGCACTTTTATTAGCTGAAAAGTCGGTTTCCTCTCTGTAAAAATCATTCAAACCTCTGTAGATAATTACTTTAGTGCAAGACTTTGACCATTAAATGATGCTTGAAATATTTAAAGTGAGTATTCTTCATCAAGGTRTCTTCTTGGACAGCTCTGTCAGAAAACAAATTAAGAAATCAAATATAAAAAATAAGTTGTTAGGTRTAGCTGTATTTTAATATTTATCAAATTAACCTTAATGGGTGCTGCAGTTTTATTTGTATTTCTTTTTTTCTTCTTTCCCCTTGCGACCTCAAAGTCAGATGTTGAGTCTTTATATTGATTTTGATCCTAAAATGAGACACTCCATCTTTCACTTATTTTCTTTTTGTAGGTGTGATCAGTGTGACAAAGATTTACAACTACTACAAGAAGTTTGGTTACAGCACTGTAGTGATGGGTGCCTCCTTCAGAAACACGGGGGAGGTGAAGGCTCTGGCTGGTTGTGACCTGCTCACCATCTCCCCTGGTCTGTTAGCAGAGCTCAGCCAGGACCACAGCTCCATCACTGAAATGCTCAGTGAGGAGAAAGGTACTGCACCAAGCAGGAAAAACATTTCCTTCATATCCCTGCTAACCACTGACTCACATGTGACTGAGCATTGTATTTATGTCAGGATATCACACTCACACAGCTCCTGCATCACTGGTTATACCAGTTGTGTCATTAATTTTATTAACTATGCACTGTGGCTTATTGTAATACTGGTATTCTGTTAATTAATTTATATGGCAATTCACCAGTTCACAGCAAGTCATTTCAGGGCCCTRTACAAAACATTCACATGTATTATAAAATGCTAATCAGTAAAAGAATAAGCCATCAGTATGGAATTTTATTTATTTTTTGCAGCCAAGGCCTGTGATCTGAAGAAGATCCACCTGGATGAGAAGGATTTCCGCTGGCAGCACAACGAGGACCGCATGGCTGTGGAGAAACTGTCCGACGGCATCCGCAAGTTTGCTGCTGATGCTATCAAGCTGGAAACCATGATTAAAGTAAAAACTTTTATATTTCTATTCCTGAGTCTGACAAAGATTGTCTAATAATTCACAAGCAAATGACATTTTTTTTGTTTGTTTTTTGATTTTTTTTTTTTTCTTTGTGTTACAGGAGAAAATGCTCAGTGTAAAAAACGGCCAGTAGTAGACAGATGAGGTGTGTCCAGCTGCATTTAATAAGGTACAGGTGTGTGG